ATAAAATAACAAAGTAATCTATATGGTATAAGAGCTTTGTGCTTGCTAGTGTCGTGTAACATTCGTAATCATTACGAATGTTACATTAGGGTAAAATTGTGACAGACACAAGAACATTCTGAAATTGTAACATAGGCAGTTGTTCAATTCAGACAGAGTACTTGGGTACCCCCTAATAGGGCCTCTGAATTGATCTGCATTGGGTACCCCCCTAATAGTTCCTCTGAATTGATTTGCATTGGGTACCCCCCTAATAGGTCCTCTGAATTGATCTGCATTGGGTACCCCCCTAATAGAACCTCTGAATTGATCTGCATTGGGTACCCCCCTAATAGGTCCTCTGAATTGATCTGCATTGGGTACCCCCCTAATAGGTCCTCTGAATTGATCTGNCCTCTGAATTGATCTGCATTGGGTACCCCCCTAATAGGTCCTCTGAATTGATCTGCATTGGGAATATCCTGCAACCTTTAATTGCTGGTTTTGAATCGTTCCCAAGAGAATGAAATAACAAAAGACACTGCGGCCATGTTGGATGATATAGCAAAAGGTACTAATGACGAATGTTTTGTTGAATTCATCCAACATGGCAGCTGTGAAAACCATCAATATTATAGATACAATTGTAGCCATACGTTTTCTTCATCTGAACTTTCTCAGCATGTCTCTTCTTGTTGTAAAGCTTGGCCCTAAAAATTATAACAAGTTAAAATAAGTTTATGTAAGAATACAATTTCAAATATTCTAATGCCAAAGAAACAACAAAAATACTACTTACTTTAGACCGTGAAGTTTCTTGGCCTGCTCAGCCTGTTCGTGTGGTTGACGAGCTTCCTTTTTTCGCCTTTAAAAAATAGTCAAAATTCATTATATAAATTTAAGAAACGGGTTAGTATTACATTGGATAAACGATAATAGAAAATTAAGAATGACGAAAAATGTTTTGTCGACAAAATAAAGGACAGCTTCAAAATGTTAACTTACTTTCGCTCAAAATGATCGAGCCGATATCCATGACGTTTCCTGGATTGTTCTATATGTTCGTTTTGTGGCTGTTAAATGAATAAAAATAAAATAGAGCAAAATTTTCAGCTTAACTATTGGAATTGCATTGAACTTATAGACAGCACATGGTCACGACTCACTCCCAAATAATCATTATTTGTAAGCCAATAAAAAAAGTAATTGGAATAAAAACCAAGCTAAGTTACTAACCATGATTGCAGTTTTATTTCTTTTGGTTAGTAACTATTAAATAACTCTTCCTTGTTTTGTAAATGCTTGTTTTGTTGTCTAGTCTTTAACCTTGTTCCAGTCGTGTTTCGTCCGCCATGTTAAAAAGACCGATTTACCCACCATGCATTGCAATCAGCTGATTCGTTGCACCATCACATGTAACCACAGGAAGCCCATCTTCGAATAGACTCTCGTATTGATATTATTTGCGACTTCATCTTCAAAGAATTCAACTTTCTAATCCAAAAACATTTTTTCGTTTTTTTTCTCAGACCTTGAGTCTGTTTAGACAAGGCGCGAAAAATGATGGGTGAGGTATCTAGAATTGGGTTTCCGAGTTTGCTTCGGGGTTAGCGAATATAACTATTCTCAAATGAGCATAAATAAGAGAGGGAAACTTCTAATATATTTACGCAACGCTTACTCCCCCTTTAGCAACCGGATGCAGTTCAAATTTCGCCTTACCCTACTCCCGCTCGTCATCAACTTGCGCGCGCGTGCTCTTTCCGTTTATTGTTTTTTTGATCACTAAAAACGAAATTTGGGTTAGCTGTGGTCCTTAGCTCAAGTGGGTAGATTGCAGGGTTGGGGGTTGGGGGTTGGGGGTTGGGTTGTGGCCGGGGGGAAGGAACGGAGTGGTGAAAGTTATTTAGAGGAGGGAAATGAAAGAGAGAGTCTCGTGTGAAGAAGGATCAAAACCAAATAGATTCCATTTCTTTATTACAATAGTTGTTTCATAAAGTGATCTAAAAATCCCTGAAAAATGAAGAGCGAAAATTACCCCGAACGAAAACAAACGCGCGATTTCTTCCGTAAAAAAACATCCTGCAAGGCATAACACTTAACTGCTTCAGTATCATGTCTATTCTATCTTCTTAAAAAACACTATTTTCAAATTTATTTATCCCGACTTTCCTTTGCAGTTATTTTAACTTCAAAGACCTTGAATGAACTTTTACCAGTTTTTTTTTGTCCATAAGAAAGTAAAGATATAATAAATACCACAAATATAATCAACAGAAAGTAAAAAAGCAAAAATTCCCCAAGAAAAACTGAAGCAGAAAACAAAGCCCTGAAAACGCAAGATTTTTCAGGCGCTACATAATACGACAAATGCATATGTTTACTTCTATAAATTATTCCAATCTTTATATTTTTCCTGTTTTATATTCTTTAGACCTGTTCCTTCCCTTCCTCTTGACGCGAACGTATTCAGCGATGAATCCTTTCTTCTGAGTGGTCAGGTCTGAGACGAACTCGATAAACATCTTGTTGCTAGTGGATAAGAATTCCCGTTTGGCATTCTTCGCGCTGTTGCCACAGATTTTCCCAAGAAGAGGTGATGTGGCGTTGCTCCCATCTCGAATCGTCACACCATCATAGCTGCAGTATTTCTCCTTTTCCACCTCGAATTCCTTGAAGCGGAGCTTGACGAAGCCGTTACGTGTGGAGATAGTCCATCTGCATTTGACGGAAGGGCTATAGTCGTCGTCGCCATACGCGGGATGAGAATAAAATGTCCTTGCGGTATTGATGGCATTTAATTTAGCACCACATACTGAAAACGAAAAAAAGGTTTCATTGACTTGATATTCTTGGGATGCATGTTACGTCATAGATGCCATGTTGGTTGATGATAACAAAGYATTCCTCAATATCTTTTCTCGTTACATCAACCAACATTGGCGGCTGTTCCATTTTTATTCGTATATCTAAAGATAAAATTCCTGAGGTATTTACTGAATACGTACTAGCGTTGTATCTCGCCTTGAATCCTCGTTTAGCTATCAGAGCGTCTGAGTGAAACTTGATCATCAATTTATGTGCCTTTGACAATACAGGGCTTGGTAACGAGTTACCACAAACACGGCCAATACTCTCGGCCTGGCCACCTGTCCCTGAAAAGATCTCGACGTAGTCATAGCGACAGTCGTTGGCTTCTTCAATCTGTAAAAACTGGCAATAATTACAAAGATGTTTTCAAGTGCATGCTGATAATTTGAAGTTAATTACAGTTCAGGATTTCTGTTAACGGAAGTGGAACGCACCTCAAGCCAAAAAACTACAGCATTTTCGCACACGCTAAAAAGAGCTGTCGTGATTGGCCAAAACAAACGAAAGTTTTCATTGACAACTCGTTCTATTATTTTGCTTATAGATATTCTTAGAGCGGCGACCTTGCCTGAAAACAAGCTTATAGTCAATCAACTGATTATCCAATCAGGGAGTAGAGATACCACGTGATAGCACGGAACCAATAACATCACGCCAGTAGTCGTTAAGTTCTAGCTAGAAAACTTTGTATGGATGGCAGAAACATGACAAGGGATGAGATTACGCCTGAGTCTTACCCTGAAGTTCAGTTCCACGTGACTGCCAGGTTTGACCACGATCTTCCATGTGCAGTCTTTCTTGTGTTGGTACACACCTGGGTAGTTGGGTGACATGATCAAGCCTGTCTGGGTGGTTAACGTGGCGCTGCACTCTGATGCTAATAAATACAATACGACAGTAAGAACGGCACGGTAAACAGCTATGACTTAGGTTGACGCAATCGGGGCCTGATTGTCTCGTTAGAATAAGCAAGGGGGATTGATTTATTTTGAATCTGGGATGGTAAAATTCATACTTTATGCACATTGGGCCCCATCAATCAATCACCTATCGCGCTTATAGCCGCAAGAATTGATCCCTGCACTTTAGAACAACTTTCTTACATTTCTTCCTAGAGAATAATTTCAATTCGCGCGTGGAGCTGGTAATATTTAATTTTACCAGCTAAATAATATTCATAGTAGAAAACTATATACAACTACAAAATATACGACCTACCTTCCTTACAGCTGTGTTTGTTGCTGTGTAAAGTAAAACCTGGTTTACATGCACAGCGGTAACTACCAATCGTATTGACGCAGATGTGTTGACATCCACCTTTACGTTTTTGACATTCGTCCTCGTCTAACGTCAAATAAACAACAGGAATCAGGAGCGAGGTTTAGGAGTTAGAAATTATTTTGCGAATCTCTATTATTTTCATGGGATTTCTCAAACAGTCGTAAACGCACTTTTGTAGTAAAAGGGGCTTTGCACCATCAAGTGATGGCGGCCATGACAGGAGGCATAACAACAGAGTGAACCGAATCCTTTCTCGTGTAAATCACACTAGACCAGATTCAATTTCTCCTGCCTCTTGTCATGCCTGCCATCACGTGAGTTTGCAAGGCCTCCATTGGATGCTTTCCCCATAGGGCGGGGCTGCGGCCCACCTTTAAGTCTAGGAAGAATTGCTTTTCCCCCACGAAGATATTTCCAGGAAATAGCAATGCTAGAAACCATATTTTAAGAATTTTCTTGGGATCTTATCCGAGACCTCCTCTGTTTTCCTTTTGCATAGTCAGTGGGGAGATTTGTCTGACAAGTCCCCATTTATCAGATTCCTGGATCGGCAGCTGTTTACTCAAAGGAATCAACGCTCTAAATAGACCATTTCACGGATCCCATTACTCAACCTCAGCCTCGTCAGCGYGTAATATATTCTTTAGAAATTGCCTACAACCTGTGAAATTTTTAAGTGTTTCAATTTTTCACTGATGTGTAAATTCCTTTCATTACTGCGGACTGTAGTCAAATTCTAAAGAATAATTACACGCTGACGAGGTTGAGTAACGGGATCCGTGAAATGGCCTATTGCTTACCACTATAGTACATAGCTAAGAATCCTTTTCTGGACTGGGTGTGGTCTGATCGGAAATCCACAAACATGACATTAGAAGGTGATGTGATTGTCTTGGGGATGCTTGAACCACATAATTTCTTTAGCACTTTGTTGTTTTCATCTCTGATCTCCACGTAGTCATACCTACAATTCTGTTAACAACAACAACAAAAATGAAATCTCCCTAAAATTGGAGACGTATCGGCCAGGATCTAGCTACCATGAGAGTGACCATTTTCACTAATCTCAGCATATTCTTGTCCTCCCTCCCCCTCGCAAAACACATGCATCTTACGAATTAACTGCCGATGAAAAAGGGGGTCACCAACAGCAGGATCTACCTTGAGTGCGGTCATTTTTCACTAATCTCAGCATGTTCATGCCTGCCCTTTCCCCTGCTCAAAACACATGCATCTTACAAATAATTTTGCTGGTCACTAACTTCAGACTTCTGAATCATGAGGACAAAAATTATTCTGTAGTTACGACAAAACTAGATTTGACTAGGGGTTTGATTCTTGGAGGTATCACCAGACGCTATTGATATATTCAGGTGTCAAATCTACAAATTCGGTTTTCAGGAAGTACAGTCTTTACTAGGGGGACTTGGTTTTCCATGTCCGTTGACCATGTGGAATACATACGCGGCATAGATTTTAAGATATCTTAGGCTCAGGCCAAACGTCGAACTTCACATGAGCGGTACGCAATGAAAACAGTGGATAAGAAGACGGTCTTCTTTTATGTCATTAGGTTCGGCTCATGTGAAGTTCGACGTTGTCCTCGGGCTTACTCCATTTGCGCTCCCTTCCAGTTTAAATTCTTTGAATTTCAGCGAGACACGTTGTCCCTTGAGTCCTGTTATTTGCCATGTACATCCTTTGTTCTTTGGGTAATTTGCCGGATAACTGGGTGACATTATCGTCCCGTTACGATCCGACAGGATTCCACCACATGCAGCTGAAATCATCAAAACCATATCAAGCTTATTTAGTATCATTTTGATCATCTATTAATCCATCTTTTTATTAGTTTCTTCATTCCTTTTCTCCCTTTCTCTCGCTTCGGCTCCCTCCTCTTAAAAAACCTATATACCAATTTCACGACCATCACTTCACGTAAGGGGCTCGTTCGCGAGGCTTGCGCGCTCAATATACCACTACATTCACATTTTACTTGCAGCTCGATCTCAACTCACGTGTTGATTTTTTTAAGAAGGAAGGAAAGCCGGAGAATCGGATCGAAGAAAAAAACCTTTTGGCAAGTAAGAGAACAGCACATCAAACAAACTCAACTCATATATGCAGTTCGGTCGAGACACAAACGCGCGACCCCTGGCTTGAGCTATACACAGCGGCGTGTGTGTGTGTGTGAGAGAGAGAGACAGCACCATAACAGCGCATGCAGCCCACTTTTCTTTGTCTCCCTCCTCTCAGCTTCTTCTTTCCCTCTTATTACCTACCTTTTGCTTATTTTCCCTTCCTCCCCATCATTTAACAGTGGGGTGTGGTTGGTGGGGTGTTAGAATGCTTACCTTCACAGTCTTTACCATTGGAATGAAGTTCAAAACCAGGATAGCATTCACACTCGTAGTGTCCTAATGTGTTACGACAGATTTGAGAACAGCCGCCATTGTTAACCTTACATTCGTTACGTTCTGGAATGTAACAAGATAGACATCTTAATATAACTTTGTAAAATATACCAGTATGAAAACGAGAGAGTACGAACGAACGAACGAACGAACGAACGAACGAACGAACGAACGAACGAACGAACGAACGAACGAACGAACGAACGAACGAACGAACGAACGAAC